GCCTTGTTCACCGTTTCAGTGGAGGCTTGGATTGTGTTCGACGGGCGGCGGGGAAGTTCGTGGAAGAACGGGCCGCACGGCGCAGAGGGCATTTGTACTTGTAGGCGAAGCCGGTGGATGGTGGTAGTTTGCACACAAAGCCTGCTCAAGGACGCGGTACGGTCCGCCCAGTTCTTTTAGGTACCACCACTACTGCCGACTAACTAATGCTTCCGTTGGGGGGATGTTGGGGGTTGGAGCGTTAGTGCATCGTTAAACCTCTAGGCGCATATCTAGGCTTCCGGAAGGTCTGGCGCGCACCCGCAGGCTAGCCTAACACATTCCATGACCACCACGACCTGTCTATCTCTCGCTATACTTGTGGGCATCGGGGATCAACCCCCACGATAGCGTGAGAACCGGCCATGTCCATCCATCCATTGGTGCCACCCAATTCATCTTGTCTGCGCGCGTCTCCATCGAGAGCAGACTAAATCCAACATGTTTAACGTGTCCAGACGCAGAGGAGGCATTCAGGTCATGTCGGTTCTGCTCATCTCGTGGTAATGGATCCTTCTTACACCTCTCCATTATTCATTCGTTCAATCCTGCTGCCACTACCTTGATCTGCGAATCTTGAACCATGGCCTCTTCAACCCTTGATGGGTTTGCCCTGAGCTCCCTGACAACCACCGTGGCCATCCTGGTTACCACATGGCTCCTCTATCTGATGTCACTTGCTCTGAACCGGCTGTATCTGTCGCCGCTCGCAAAGTTTCCTGGGCCCAAAGCTGCCGCCCTATCACGATGGTACGAGCTCTATTACGAGGTCGTCCTGAAAGGCCAGTACTCGAGGAGGATAGATGAGATGCACCAGCAATATGGTGAGTCGACTTCGGGTATAACAGTCATCTAACGAGCCAACTAACATCCATCCAGGCCCTATTGTTCGAGTCGCCCCGGATGAGCTCCATATCAAGGACAGCGACTTTTTTGATGAACTATATGTCAAAGTCCCGCGGGTAGACAAGCACGACTGGGCAGCTGGGAGGTTTGGGAATCATGGCTCTATCATCACTACCGCAGACTACGCCCTACATCGTCGTCGTCGTGCAGCCCTCAATCCCTTGTGAGCTTTCCAGGGTGCATGCGGAGCGATAGCTCTTTGGACACGGTCAAGAAGATTCTAACCAGAAGGTAGCTTCTCTAAACGGTCAATCATGGACTTCCAACCAGTAATTCGACAGAAGGTTGAGCAACTAAGCAGGACACTCCGTGAGTATAAAGCAAAAGGCAAGCCAGTGGTCCTGAGCGAGGCATTTCCAGCCTTTGCAGGCGACATTATCACAGAATACTCGTTTGGAATCTGCTACGATCATTTGGGTTCTCCGGATTTTTCAGAGTCTTTCCATGCCGCATTCATGGCTGTCGGCGAGTTCGGCCATGTCGCAGTCCAATTCCCTTGGTTTCACCCAGTGCGTCCCCCCTTGGGTGCTCAAGCAGCTCCACGAATGCTGACATAGACATAAGCTCTTGAATTCTCTTCCGGATAGCCTTGTTCGCAAAATGCAGCCAGCTCTAGGGTCTCTCCTGCAGCTTCAGATGGTGAGTCGGGCACATCAAGCCCTTGGAATTGGGGTTCCTCTAAACGTTACCAAATAGGATTTACGAAATATGATCAAGCGACTGACCGAAGGGGACGAACTTGGGGAGGGGAAGGTTTCTCATCGCACTATATTTCATGACCTGCTTCAAAGTGCCCTTCCACCCGAGGACAAGGGAAACCGCCGCATGGCAGACGAGGCCCAAACCGTTATTGGAGGCGGTCTCGAGACGACTGCTTGGGCGTTGAGCGTGGCGTCGTTCCACATTGTGAACACCCCTCGAATTTACAAGCGACTACACGAGGAGCTTGTTCAAGTGATGCCCGACACATCCTCCATTCCAGATCTGTTAGAGGTCGAAAAGTTGCCCTACCTTCGAGCCTGCATCACAGAAGCCGTCCGCCTTTCGTATGGCATCTCTGCACGGAATCCTCGAGTGCTCAACCAAGCCCTCCAATACAAACAGTGGACCATACCTCCACGAACCGTTGTCGGCATGTCGATTGTGGATGTCCATCACGACGAGAATATCTTCCCCGACTCCCACTCATACATTCCAGAGCGATGGCTGGGGAATCCGAAGGCACCTAACGGGTCTCCACTTGATCGTTACTTTGTTGGATTTGGGAAAGGGAGCAGGAGCTGCCTCGGCATCAAGTACGTATCATCACTGTGGTCGCATTGCTTCTTCAAACACCCTTGAGCTGATTTCTTGCTAGTCTAGCGTATGCCGAACTATTCCTTCTCATGGCGGCTCTCTTCCGACGTTTTCGCTTTGAACTGTTCGAGACTGACAAGTCGGATGTCGAGTTGAAGCATGATTTCTTCCTGCCGAGTCCAAAGCTAGATTCCAAGGGCGTGCGGGTCAAGGTTGTTGAGGTCTTTGAGTGAATTGATGACAGTGACTGACCCGGCACCATATGGTCGTATATATCATATATATCCTTGGTCTCAGCCAACCTCTCTCCCTTGTTCGTCATATACACAAATCTGAATGATCTGAAATGGCCCTTCTCCTCCGATAGTATCAGTGTCAAACCGACGATGGGTGGACCAGGCAGTTAACCGTGCTTAGTCACTCGCTACGGTTGCGCGTCGCGTCGCCCCAAGCGAGCCAAGTTCCGACACCTTAGAGAGAATGACGATGTACTCGGCAATGAGTCCCTACCGTCTGTACAGTCTGTCTCAATTCTGCGAGCTCAACAATTGAATGGGAGGCGGAACGATCGGGGCAGGTTTTGGCTAGCTACGGACGCGAACTACATGCTTGGTGTGTACAAAAACTTGTACTTGTGCATGAAATCCTTGCTCTTTACGGTGCGGATCGTTCCTGGTCGTTCATTTCCGTTTCTCTAATTCCTTGCCAGGAACCCGATTAGCCAGTTAGCGAGCTACAACTGGCAGAGAGATCTGCAAGGATACGACCAGATCCCGGACCCTTTGAACCTACAGTACCGGCCCAGTGATGGAGACTCAGGAACCTTCGATGCAGCAGCCGGGGATGACGGCTTCATCTCCGCGCTTTGACACGGCATACATCGACCAAGTCTCGCAGGGACGACGCAGCCTCAGCACGCCTCTTATCGAACCCTTGATCACAGGGACGGGGGCCAGCATCTACCGATCCAAGATAATCCCTGCCATACGGGCCGCGCAGTCCGAGATTGTGCTGGTGACGTGCTTCTGGGCCTCGTCCGTGACCCGTGTGCAACTCTGCGAAGCGCTCAAAGACCTGTCCAGGCGTGTGCTGGCTTCCTCCTCCTCATCGTCGTCATCTCCGAGAAAGGTATCAGTGCAGATATGTTTCTCCTCGAGCTCGCTAGCGCGCAATATGCTCCTACCAACGCCTTCGGAAGGCCAGGTCTACGGCCCTGAGAGCTGGGGAAGACTGGGCCTCCCGGGACCCGACGAGATCAGAGGCTTGAATTTGCGGGTGGTGCGCAAGTTCTTCTGGCCTTGGGGCATCGTCCATTCGAAGTATGTCATTGTTGATCGAAAGTTTGCCCTCTTTCCCTCGTGCAATGTCTCGTGGGAGCGATGGTTCGAGGTTGCCATATCGTTCACGGGCCCGGTTGTCGACCATTTACTGCACTTCCATTCGGATTTCTGGGACAAAGGGAGGCCTCCGGTGCCGCCATCACCGCCACCTCCAGATATTCGTGCCACCACCTCGGTCACAGATGAGGCTACCGCTACAATGGTCCCGGTAACCCTGCTACCCTCGCCACACACGCCGGCCAAGCTTCCAAACCACCTCCACCCGCGCGTCCTGCTCGGCCAAGTCATCCCATGCATCCCCACCGCCGGACCACTCCCGTTCCCCCCCACGCCGTTGTTACAGACCACACACCACCTGCTCTCGACGGCACAGTCTAGGATCGTCCTGCTGACACCTAACCTGACCGAGCCGACCGTGGTTGAGTCCCTCGTCGACGCCCTGGGGAGGGGCGTCCAGGTCTGCATCTGGACCAACCGCACCCTGATGACCGTGGAGCAGATGGTCACGGCGGGCACGACTACGCCGAGCTGTGTCCAGAGACTCGTCGACAGGGCTTTGCACCTAGGACGGTCTGCGCTGCTCGAAACATTCTTCTTCGACGCCGACGACGGGCCCGGTGTTTCGCCACAGGGGCGTGGGCGAGGCCTGGAGGGAGATGATGAAGAGCAAGACCAAGAGTCCATCCCCGTCAAGCTGCACGCCAAGGTGACCATTGTCGACGACGAGCGCATCCTGTTGGGGAGTGGCAACATGGACGCGGCGAGTTGGCGGACCAGTCAGGAATTGGGCGTGCTGGTCGAGAGTCGCGAGGTTGTTGACGAGTTCAAGAGGTTGTGGAGGTACAGCAAGCTCTGAAAACTCCACGTATCTGAAGTGGTGAGGCAGGCCGGCCCTTTTTTCTATCTTCCAGGAAAAGGATGATTTCCAGTCGACTGGCTTTTGTCGAATTCTTCCTTTATCCGAACGAGCCTTGAATCCTCCTGTGAGAAAGAGCGGTCCCTTTGCAAAAGAGGTATGGGGCCTTTTCAACGGGATACTTCATACCATGCTGTACCCTACGATTCACCACGGTCTGCTTTTCTAAGTCGTTTGATCTATCATGAACAAGATATACGCTGATGACGATCCGTAGGGGGCAGGAACATTACAGTCTACGACGACCAGAGATATATCACAAAATTTTGTCTGGAATCGTGATGGCTTTGGAGAATCCTTACATACATATATGCATTTGTATATGCATATTCAGACTGTCGTCTGCAAGGCGCTTGCCTGGACTTGTACCCAGCAGAAAGGTGTGAAGGAGACATCTCTCCACCCACGTCACGAGACGTGTGTGTCGAGGGTTGAACAAAAGCTAGGAGAGCACCAACACTAGCACCAGCACTGTCAAAATACAAGGCCCAAAATGTGGTCAGTCAGTTCTTGGTCCCTCTCCGAAGAAGCATCAATGGTTTCCCAGCCTGGACCACGTCGTTCGGCTTGACGAGCAACTTCTCGACCGTGGCGCCCTCCATATTCTGCTCGGCCTTGACGGGGATTTCGAGCTTCATGGCCTCGAGGATCGAGACGACCTGCTCGAGCTTGACCGTGTCGCCTTCCTTGACCTCGACTTTCCACACGTTGGCGTTCAGGGGAGCTTCGACGGGGATGATTTCCGGGTCTGAAACACGCACACACAAAGAAAAACGTCAGTCTTTGGTAGATATTTGACTGGGAGGTAGAGGAGGAGGAGGAGGAGGAGGAGGAGAAGAAGAAGAAGAAGAAGAAGAAGAAGAAAATGATGTGGGGTGGGGAAGGAGACATGTACATACCATGCAGCAGCTCCTCGACGGTGTCCATGCTGATTTTGCCGGCTTCCTTCTCCTTGCTCCATTTTTCGAGGAGTTCCTTCTCCAACTTGTCCATTTCGGCCTGTGCCTGGCGCTGCCGGGCCCGGATCTGGGCGACCTCGTCCTTGGTCTCCCTCAGGAGCTCGTTGTGTTCCTTCATGTCGAACTCGGTATCCTCGTACTCGTACTCGTAGCGGCCGCTGCGGAACGTTGCCATGAGCCCTTCGTACTCGTCCTCGGTCACCTCGTAGAAGGTGATCTGGTCAAAGTCCTCAAACAGCCACGGCTTCTCCGCGCTGTAGCCTCTCTTGAACCCGAGAATGTCGGCGCCCGGGATCGAGAGGCCCGTGTTCATGTACCCGCCGGGCGACTCGACGTTGTATAGTGCCATGCATGACCCACCCCAGCCGACTTGTCCTTCTGGGGTGTGTACCCGGGACGGGTTCATCTTGGGACACTGGATGCGTTGACGCGGATCGATCGGCAGAGCTATGGGCAGCGCCACAAAGAACCCGACCGCAACCACCATCAACGATGATTTTGTGTATATATCTCGAAGCTTACCACCGTGTCAGAGAACATAGAGTGCATAGAAAGCAATAAACTTACTTGTTGAAGCGTGAATGCGTTGTTCTTGGCCACAAACTCCATCGGATCCGGTAGGTACGAGGCATACGGTCTCTGCGTCTCCATGTACCTCTGTAGGCTTTCCTTCTGTCTCTTACTCTGGAACGTGATGGGGAGTTTGTACTTGCGACTTGGAAACTTGGCTTCGCTGAGATCGCCGAGTTCCTTTTCGAGCTGGAGGAGATAATCCAGCATCTTCTGGCGGGGCACCTTTGTTGAGTCGTAGTAGAGCATGAGGGAATTACCGCACGCCATTCCCGTATGCATATCGCCGTTGGAGAACGAGATCTCGCCCGTGTTCTCCCGCAGCTTTCGATACAGTGCGACCGCGCGGCAGCGGTAGTTGAGGTCGAAGGAGCCGTGGCCGTAGTCGATCAGGATGAAGTCGTCGCCGCCCTGTCGATACGACACGAGCGGTTGGTTGCCGTGTTCCTCGATCTTGTGGATAATCGCTGGCTCCCATCCTTTCTTCTCGAAGGAGGGTGGAAGTCCCTCGTACTTGAGCGGTGAAACATTGTCAAAGCTGCCTTTCCCCTGGCAACAGTCGTGGATAGAGCCTAGGAAATCTTCGACTTCCTTGCGCTTGGCAATGGCGTCCTGGTACGACACTCTCTTGAATCGCAGCTTGTTGCCAGCCTTCATCTGCCCGAGTCTCCAGTACTCGGCCTTCACGATTGTTGTCGCCGACACAAACCCTCCGAAGTCGGGCGCGTCGATGGGGAACAGGCACGGGTCATCGCCGGTCCAGTTCACAGTGCCGATGGGGTATCCGTATTCGATGACATTTGAAGGATGTGCACCACCCTCCCCTCCGTCAGGACGTGCCCATTTCGGTTTCGGACCAATCAGCCGAATGCCCCCTCGAGCGGCATTGTGTGAAATCGTCCAGGTGCTGTCGTAGAACTCTTCAATGGATTCGTTGGTGACGAAGCCCTCATCATAGGGCCCAGGCATGGCCAAAAGATCCCATTCCTCTGGGTACGACGGTCTCAGATTCTGTGGCAGTGAAAGCTCGCCACCGACATCTGGTAAATCGGTCGTAATCACCAAGAAATCACCAGCCGCGAGCGCCCTCCCCTGATAGCCACCGACAGCAGTCATCGGCGCCGTTGCTTTTGAGCCGAACCACGTTGCAATGCTCGGAAGACCTCCGTATATTGCCAAGTACGATCGACATCCGCCTCCTGTTGTCTTGCCGATCGTGAGTCGCTGGCCAGCTTGGATCTTCAGCCGCGTCCACATGGGTGCATCCTTGCCGTCGAGCTTGACCTCCATCGGAGCACCGCAGATGGCGATAATGGCTGGCCCGAGGAATTTCAGGTCCGGTCCACTCAAGGTGATCTCAATGCCTTCCTTGCCAGGAGGATTGCCGACGAGCGCGTTGGCTATTCGGAACGCCAGAGGATCCATGGGACCGGAGTGTGAAAACCCTCTTCCGATGGTAGGGCGGCCCGGCCAGTCTTCGATCAAGGTGTACGCGCCCCCTTGCAAGACATCTATTGCCGCAGGTTGAAATTTGAACGTCTCGAGGAATTTTGTCATCGTATTGCCGGATTTGAACGTGCTGTCTTTTAAGATGGCCTCCAGGAACTCGATGTTTGTGGGTGGCCCAAATATCTTGGAGCCTTCCAGCATTTCACACATCAGTTTAAGGGCTTTGGGACGGTTTGATGCATGGACCATGACTTTTGCCAGTAAGGGATCGTAAAATGAAGTGACCTTAGTCCCTGTATGGATCCAACCGTCGATTCGAGAACCCGGAACTTCTTTCCAAGACACGTGCTGTAGTGTGCCTGGTGATGGAGCAAAGTCCTTTGCCGGATTTTCTGCGTACACCCGTACCTCAATGGCTGCTCCTGAAGGACCCTTGGGCTGAAGACTGCTCAGGTATTCACCATCAAGTCCGCCCTTACCAGACAGCTCTGCGTCGGCTTGCTTCAACATCAATTCCACCAGATCGATTCCATAGCACATCTCCGTAATGCCGTGTTCTACCTGCAAACGTGTATTCATCTCGAGAAAGAAGAAAGCGCCGGACTCGTCGTCCACAAGAAACTCGATGGTCCCGGCGGAACCATAGTTGATCGAGGCCGCTAGACGGACAGCCGCTGACCCTAGCTTTTCGCGGAGTTCGGGGTGTTTCTCGACGAACGGGCTGGGGCACTCTTCAATCACCTTCTGGTGTCGCCGTTGAATCGAGCATTCGCGCTCTCCAAAATGTATCGCTTCACCGAGCCCATTGCCGAAGACCTGGACTTCGATATGATGTGAAGAAGGGTAGAACCTCTCCATGAAGACGCCCGAGTTCTTAAAGAGAGTCTCACCACGCGATTGAACTGTTTTGAATGACTGACGAACTTCTGTTTCGTCCTTGCATGTCAACAAGCCCATACCGCCTCCGCCGGCGGTAGCTTTGAGTATGATCTGGAGGTGTCAGTAGATTCACCAGTTCGAAGAGTCGTGCCTACCGGGAAACCCAATTTCTTTGCCTCCTCAACTGCTTCATCCTCTGACTTGACAAGACCTTTAGTTCCTGGGACGATAGGGACGTCGGCTTTTGAAGCAAGTTCACGAGCTGTGTGTTTGATGCCAAAGTCCTCTATACACTTTGGACTTGGACCGACAAACACCATCCCCGCCTCGGTGACATGCCTGGCGAAGTCGGTGTTCTCAGACAGAAATCCATACCCAGGAATGACCGCGTCGGCTCCCTTGGATTTTGCGATATCGATAATTTGCTGTGTATCGATGTAGCCTTTGGCATCTGGTCCGGTGAGCAAAACAGCTTCATCCGCAGCCCCTACGTGTGCCGAGGCGGCGTCTGCTCCCGTGTAAATGGAAATAGTCTTGAGCCCAAGCTTGCGGGCTGTCTTGCATATCCGCACTGCTATCTCTCCTCGATTCGCAACCAGCAATGTCTTTAATTTCTCCATCTCACAAAGACTGGTGATGAGAAACAAGCGACAGCTGACGCACAGCTTTGCGGATGCGAGGGATCTTTGGCATTATCAAGCGGTGGTGTAATGGCTTGATATCAGTGGAAGCCACTTGCCGTTATTGGCCTGATGTGCAAGGATTCCCCAAAAATATCGATGAGGGGCTTGAGAGTTCATCGTTGCCTCCGCAAGTCGTTCTTCTCCGCCGTCATTAGTGACGTAGGATTGGATGGGCAAGATGGGCCAAGTGAAGTTCGTGGAGTGTTACTTCCATAGCTCCGGAGAATGAAGATAATGTAAGACACGACGCGTGGTTGCTCAAGAGTTACATATTTTTCCCTTTTGATCAAAAAAGTGTCTCGCCGTAGAAGATGGCGCCTCCACCAATCAAACACAAAGCCTTGCTGAATGTCGATCTGGGTGAAGGGGTAAGTGTGTTCCGTCAATGCGTGGGCCGTTTCTGATCGCTGGCACAGTACGGCAATTATGTCTGCGGTCCAGATCTGGAGTTGCTGCCGTTGATTGACCACGCAAATGTCGCATGTGGCTTTCATGCGGGAGATCCATTGATAATGCAGGAGACTGTGCGGAACTGTAAGAAGCACAATATCAAAGTCGGGGCACACCCTGGGCTTCCTGATATACAAGGTAAGCGGCCGAAACCTGTTGAGTATGACCCGCCTCTAACGCCATGTAGGTTTCGGTCGACGCGAGATCAAAATGTCTCCCGAGGAACTGACGGCCATCACTGTGTACCAAGTTGGTGCATTGAAGGGTTTCCTTGACCAGGAAGGCGTCCCTCTACATCATGTCAAACCCCACGGCATTCTGTACGGAATGATGTGCCGTGATTATGAGGTTGCCAAAGCCGTTATGCAAGGAATTCCCAAAGGAGTCCCGGTCTTCGGTCTTGCAGGGACGAACATGGAGAAGGCGGCCAACGATCTCGGGATCACCTTCTGGGCAGAAATGTATGGAGATGTGAAATACAGCAACGATGGCATGCTTGTCATTGACAGGAAGAAGAAGCCCTGGAATCTCGAAGATGTCAGGAAACATGTTAGTCAACAGCTCAATTCGCAATCCGTGACGGCCACAGATGGCAGTGTTGTTCAGTTGCCAGTCAAGGACTATCCGATATCCATATGTTGTCATTCAGACTCTCCTGGGTGCCTTGGAATAATCAGGACCACAAAGGAGGTGATTGATGAATTCAACAAGGAACATGGAAGGATATGAATGATGACCACAAGTCACGAATAAGATTTATACCTCGAAGTATTCTGGGCTCTTTCGTCCCAATCTGGTTCATCTCCTCCCACTATTAGCGAGTGGTCTCAGAGCCAGAGAATACACACTCATTCAGTAGTTCAGTTCATTGTTAGTTTCGAATGAAGGAGCAAGAGCCACCAAAGTGCCGAGGAAGTTCTGAGGACGAACTGGAGATTACTTACAAAGGTAGCCCACGGACCAAACCCCTGGTTTCGACGATCTCGGAACAGAAGGAAACCAAAGCACAGGGTAATCATCCGTCTGATCTGGCCTATCTAGGTATTTAAGGAAGATAGGATAGGCCTGAGAGTATTCAATCGTGATGGAGAGTGACTTAGTTGGTCCATTTTTCACCTCACGCTAAGCTGTTCTGGTTAGTACTCTGCACAATGCGCTCCTGCATAAAAATTACCCTCATATATTATTGTTACCGACTTTCCTCCAACAATTACCACAAATCATCCGCAGTGGTGTAATGGTAACATCTGTCGCTCTCACGCATCCTCCAAGGATGTGAAATCCGACAAGCCCGGGGTTCAATTCCCCGCTGCGGAATTTCGAATTTCTTTTTTTACATATTTTCTTTTCCATCATTTTTTCTGTTTTATGTTTTTCGAACAGGGACGTGTCAAATTTTGGGATCGCAGTGTTGTCACACTTTCTTTTTGAATAGACTTTCGTCGCAAACACCAACACAAGCTGCAATTTGTTCGAATCCCCATTTCAAGAGTTGGAAGAAGACTTAGTGCACTATGGTAGAAGAGGGTCGCTAGATCTCTGTAGGTACAGGAATTGCTTTGCAGTCTAGTAGTGGCGGGGGAGTGAGCTCTATTCCTATCATCAGCCCTTGCTGTCAGGCGTTGGCTCAATGGCTCAGAGACAACGACAATTTCACCATTCAACACCAACGCCAATGTCAAACCAAACCTCCATGCCATGTTCCTTAGTGCTTCCTTCCTTTCATTCAGCCGTTGTCTTGAATAAAGGCCATCAACGACGACTATTGAAGCCTGAATTAATCAGGCCGCTCGTTGCACATTCCGTCCCTCTCCTGTTCCATGAGTTCGTTCGCCTGCCCACGACGGCAGTCCCCTCCCATCAGATGTCCATGTTTCGGTGTCGTATACCTCGTACAACACTCCGATGCCAACTAGTCATCCATCCTGCCACTCAATGATTTTAAAGAACACGTGCAACTGCGATCCCAAGGGTCATCGCTCAAGGGAGTCGAAAGTGAAAGACGGAGGATTCTACACAACCAGGTAAGAGCGACGAGGTTGGAATACTCGCGTGCTGTGCGGAAAATACCACTGGCGCTTCAGCCCGAAGACCAAGCGTGATTGTGGTGCTAGTGGTTACAAGGCCATCCTCCCTACATTCCTGTACAGCATGCTGCAAGGCCAGAATGATCGTTGAGATGCAAAAGACAGAACATAGAAAGACTGCCATGAGACATGGTCTGCTTCCAGGATGACATGACAACAGCAGACACCTTACTGAAGAACGAATCGATTCGCCTCGAAGCCTTCTATGGAGTGGAGAGACCAACAGCTCGCTGGATCGGTTGAGCCGTGTAGATCCTGAACAACCACCCATATCTGGCCCACTGAGTAGCCTTCCTATCCCACCATCTTCGCAAGACAGCACTCTCGATGCCTGTCCAGGCGCCTTCTTCGGCGACGTGTTCGATCCTTGGATCCGAATGTCGGAGACGCATGTGGTGAGTGCTCCAGGTTTTTCCTCTGCCCCCGGATGCTTTCCCCAGTCAGTAAATCCCTGCTGAATTGGACATGGCTCTGAGATCAACTGTACCACCACGAGAACAAGTACGTCCGAGTTTGTCAGCATGCACTTGATGGTGGCCAGGCCTGTCAGGGTCGAGCAAGTCATTAATAACGCCGCTGAGCCTTATTTTCCCGTACGCCAGGGCCAATACGACGTTCCAACAGTCCACCCCCAGCACAAACGCAAACAATACCCCGCCACAAGCCACTATCAACTGAGATGACGGGCGAGAGGGGCCGGCAATTGGCTGCGGGAGAGAATCGGAGGGCTTCCAGAAGGTGACCTGCGGCGGCATAAGCAGCCACCTACGACGACGCCGCGACACTTAGCGTACTCGGACATGTCCACCATCACCCACCAAATGCCCACCACAACCAATGCTCGATGGTCTTGTGGGAACCAACTTCCGCAAAGAGGCGCAAAGGCGAGAATGCCCATGTCCAAATGTCGTGGGAAGGGCGTGCAGAGCCAAGGCTCTGACACCACCCGTTGGTGCCGTTGACCTTCACCTCGAGGCCTGCCTGAGGAGTCATACACCCTATCCACCGATCTTCGGAGATTCGTGTTCTGCTCCGAGGAGAAGGCTGAGGATCTCACAAAAGGTACCTTCTGGACGTCTTCTCATCCTTCCATCACTCCTTCCATTGGTATCCCACTGTAAGTCCTTGCTCCTCGTCTCCAGTCTCGAGGATCGCAGGTGTAAACCATGGAGTACTTCGATTTTGACGACGCCTCTCATGCGATTCCCGCCTTGGACCTTGACGATTGTTCGTCAATCGCAGGTGAGGCATGTGAGGCGGACGCCACTGACTGCTATGAGTCGCTCTTTTTCGACAAATCAGCGGCACTCCCAACAAGTCGACCGGCGGCCATCAAAATTGTGAAACTCAAACTAATCAACAATGTCGAAATTGAGGCCATCCCACATCCTTCCGACATCACTGCGGAATACCCAATGTTTCGTGCCAAAGAGCCGTGCGATCTTTGCGCGAGAATGGGTCTCGATTGCTTCTTGGCTACAAGAGGTGCACTGGTTGCAGGCTGCACCTGTTGTATCTCTCTGTACCGAGAGTGCAGCTTCGTCCATCCAAAAATCCCCAAGGGCTTTGTTAACACTTTAACGGGAATCGCTGAAGACCAGCAAATCATAGAAGGGTCGTTGACTGAACGGAGGAGGGCCATGAAGTCAATGGAAGAAGGCCGCGGCCGGAAGACTGGTGCTCGGTTTCCGCGTGATGCCGTCAAGATACTGAAGCAGTGGCTTGCTGAACATGCTGATCATCCGTATCCCAACGAGCGAGAAAAGGACGAGCTCAAGCAAGTCACCGGCCTCAAAAGAAGCCAGATCTCCAATTGGCTGGCCAATGCACGACGACGAGGCAAGGTCAGGCCTGCCGAATCTGGTCCATCCTCACCCATGCTGGGGGCAATTGATATCCCTCACAGGGTTGACAACCCGGACATTGCAGATCTCAACCCCCTAGACAGATGGAAAGCTTCACCACCTGAACACGAACCTGCATCCATGACTGCCATTGCTCGAGCCGTCACTTCCACCCCTCTACCAGTTCGCAATCCATCTCTGCCCAGTATTCATGGCTCCAGGCCAAGCTCGAAGAGGGCGTCGAGCGAAGACGATTCGTCCTTTTCCATGTTCCGTGCGCCGTCGGTGAGCAGTTTTGGAACCAGGGAATCCAGCAATTCCGATCTTACCTTTGCTTCCTCTCGGTCGAATCGGTCCAAAGGATCTTTTGCATCGTCCCAAGATCGACGCAGGCGTAGGCGAGCTCCCGTGGCTCAACGAACAGCTGCGCAACAGGCTAAATCCAGGGCTGCGAGGATATTCCAATGCACATTCTGTACGGATTCTTTTCCCGCCAAGTATGACTGGCAGAGGCATGAAAAGTCTCTCCATCTTGCTCTGGAGCGGTGGACATGTTGTCCTAATGGTGGTACAATGAACGATGCACTGACCGGAATGGTACTTTGCGTCTTCTGCCGCGAAGCCAACCCATCTACGGATCACTTGGAGTCGCACAATTTCACCGCATGCCAAGAGAAGACATTGCAAGAACGCACCTTTTATCGGAAGGATCACCTCAGCCAGCATCTGAAATTGATGCACAATGCAAAAGTCCAATCTCACATGGATACCTGGAAGAGCACCACCAACGAGATCAAGTCTTCTTGCGGCTTCTGCCCGTCCAAGTTCACCACTTGGCAACAACGAGCAGATCATCTCGCTGCTCATTTCCGGAATGGTTCGGACATGAACAACTGGAGCGGTGGATGGGGCTTTGAGCCATTTGTCGAAAGACTGGTCGAGAACGCCATCCCACCTTACCTCATCGGCCACGAGAGGACCACGATGGATCCATACGTCGCCAGGTTGACGGCAACGCCGTCCGCCAATACCGACGGAGGATTGACCAACGGCACTTCCGCCGAAAGCACGGAACCTGATCAAATGACTCGAGATTCTAATTGCTGGGGACGACTAGAGCAGGAATTGAGCAAATTTGTATCGCAACAAAGAGTGGCAGGTCGCCTTCCCTCAGATAAGGAGCTGCAGGATCAAGCTCGCATGATCATTTACGAGGACAACGATCCTTGGAACTGGACCTGTGCGGACAATCAGCAGTGGCTCGACACTTTCAAGTATCAGCAGGGTATTGGGAATGTCACAGACGCAATGATACCGACCCACACGCTGGCCGAAGTACCTATACTCGCTCCGTACGTGATCAAGGGCGGGCTGAAGTCGAAGCCTCCGACTGCTCAACATCAACGCAGAACTTTGAGCACTGATACCAACTCTTTCCCAGCCATGACACCCGACTGTGGGAGCGTCCCCAATTCGACCACAGCAGGAACATTTGACAACGGCATGGACCTTGACTTTGACAGCATCGACTTTAGCAACCTCGATCTCGGAATGGTCGACGATTTGAACTTCGACCTGGGCCTCGACAATAGTCAGGGAGGGGGGATAGGCGTCTCGTTGGCGCCTTCAACGCCGTTCTCATCGAGTGTGCAGGCTGACTCTTTGTTCGGCTCATACGGGCTGAATCCCCAGATGGGCATGGGCATGGACATGAACCCCAAGGTGCCTCTTCAGCAACAGACATCACAGCCCAGCAGCAATGGTCAATTCATGAGCAGCCGAGACCTAAACCAGCTGTCTGGGTACGTCGCAGGGTTTAACTAACCTTTGAGAAGACAAAGAGAGAGTGAAAGTGAGAGTGAGAGGAAGGCAAGGAACAGATTGGAAGGGTGGATATTGGAGAGTATTTCAACACTATAACGGACAGACAGATGACGACGACATTGGTCCATGTGTGAGATGTTGCATGCACTCACTCAACTGTCATGCGGAGGGCGCAGGGCTCAATCCAGGCAAAATAAGAAGAACATGGCGCCATTGGCCCACAGACCAGGTCACCAGGTAACTACTACGACGAGCAGAATTAAAAAGTAATCAAATAACATTTTAATGAGAACGGGCTCTTTTGATCTTGTCACACTCTCCTGCTTTCGCACGCGCGCCCTACGTCTGTCAAGGCTGGTTGGCAACGCTTTGGTCGGCTTTCGGCCTTGTCGGGAAAAAAGAGATTCCGCTTCCGAACACACCACTCACTCACTCGTTCTTCGATCAAGAGCAAGGGTGAGAGCGAATCCAGTCCTGCGTGAAATCAATCTCAGGTACGTACGTGCTGGGAGTAGTTTCTTGGATGTGACCCCCTCTAGGCACACAGAAGAGGAAGAGAGGGTTGACAAATTATCACCCAAGTAGACCGAGATGGCGGGCGCAGGGCACGGGCACAGGCACGACTGGCAAAGAGGCTTAAACCTTCAACCGCCGGTTTATCTTCACATGTCAGAAATCCAATATGTTTTTTTCTTTCCACTTGTTCCGCGTATCTGGTCTGGCCATCCACCCCCAGCACGGCCCCAGCTCGTGCAGGCTCAACAAAACCACAAAAGGAGCTACTAACCACCTGGAGAACAAATCTTATCCTCTCATCCTCTCATACAGCCCACCTGCCTGCGTGCTATCTTGTCCCCTTTTCCAAGTTCGTCCTTGGCTTTCGCCTCGAGTATGCGGGATAATGTCGTGCATCATCGGATTATGTGCATGTGAAATGCCCACATGCCATCGCCGAGTACCTCACAACATTCGCTCACATCATCTCCATGCTGCACTAACTTCCTGAGGTTGCGCCTTCATATGAGCGCTTCTTACCCCAGAATTCAGCTTCCAACCAGGACCTACGGACAGAAAGAAACCCTACTTACCTCTCACGATCCTCCTTGACTTCCTTAAACAAACAGACCCGAGGAACTGTCCCCCTATCCCCTGAACATTAGCGCTCAGAATGGCAAGCGTTGTCCCTCGACCTGATGCGAAGGTGTCTGAGCAAGAGCAGGTACATTGCGAACAGTTCTCCAGATCGACCATCTACACCATGATTCCCTCCATGGTCCGTTCGAAGATACCTGTTCTGACCTCTCTTCGGCATACTGCAAGGACGGTTGTCCTTCATGGCGCAAGTGTCCGTAGGAGAGCATACAACTTTTCCTGTGTCGAATCTACCAAAGAGAAGGACTATGAGGTCGCGTCGACTAGCAACTCCAGTGGAGCTACGACACCCATGATCAGAGCAGACAGCCCGGAAGGAGGCGTACCTCCGCAAGATCTGGCTTTGAGAATGCTGCCACCCTTGGAGGCAAGATCAGGTGTAGACTGGGATGTTGCACTCACTGGGGTCAGGCTATGGGTCAACGCCAAAACCCAAGCAGAACAAGGAGGAGACCCGGTTGCGCTGCGGAGCATGCACATAGATGCGTTGCGGTATATGCACATGGCCCTTCCCTCAGATCTGACATTGCTCGAAATTCAGACTCTGCGGGCTAGCATGGCACCTCAACTCTTCACCCAAGAAGAAATCATCACAGACTACCGTACCCAACGACAGCCCAACATCCTCCGTCAAGGTGTTGCACATGCTGTATGCTGGCTTGTCGCTGGATTGCTGCTGGTTCTGCCGATTATCATGACCCTTCTCAATCGACTTCTCCAGTTTGAGCGCGAACATCAGGTCACCGAGCGAGTACTCGCCAATGGTCTTGACCTGACTTCGGCTCTTGGTGAGCGTGGTGTAGAGTTGCACCAGGCGATTGCTCGTTTCAAGGACGGACGGGTAGGAGGTGCTTGTGTGGATTTTGGAACGTGGTTCCTGGAAGGGATTGTTGGTGGCGTAAATGATGGCATTGATGCTGTGGCTCGAAATCGAAGAAAAGCGCCCGTCACAAATTATCCCAGCTGATGATATGCTTCGATGTTATGCATAGACCTGAACACTATAGAATTGTAAGACACTCACATTCTTCATCTTGTCAAGTATAGGCGGTGATGGTGTCTTTCCGTTTCTCTCACATCTTCCGCTTGACGCCCTGCAATCCAGGTGCCATACTCATCGGCGACCAACACAGCTCATTTCACTCGCCGAGCCACACAGGGCGCGGCTGGTGAGGCTCCCTCTCCAACCGCGCCGATAGGGCTTGAGGGTCCTTTGGGTCTCGGCGTGGGGCACGATGGAGGAGTTTGTCTCCGCCATTTCCAACTCAAATCTCCAACTCGCATTTCCTCTTTCACAACAATGTCCCTTCATTCTTTGCTTCCTTCCTTTCGAAGACAACAACTTGTGTTGGACTTGTGAGTGAGTCACTGAGACGCTGAGCACATGGACTGACACTTCTCCAAGCTCTGCTCTGAGAGGACATTGTCCAGACGGGCTTTATGTTTCACTTACTCCTGGCGACCCTTGTGTCTGGGCCGCTGTCATCTTCGTCCGCAAAGGTAGGTACCACCAGTCTCTCCACGCCTTTCGCATTTGCAGTAGTATCATCAGAAGACTTCTTGGAAGCTGACATGAAGTGCTTAGGACCGTACGCAGGAGCGATTCTTCGCTTCCAGATCTCTTTTCCAGACACCTATCCCGATCTGCCTCCGCTCATCACCTTTTCGACTGATATCTTCCATCCTCTGATCGTGCCTTTGACTACATACACCTTTAGTGCCAGTAGTCTTGATGCATCAGGCACTGTCAGCGCCTCAGATGGATATCGCCTGCCCCCAGGAACATTCAGTTTGCGCTATGGATTTCCTCAGTGGTTCACAACAAGCACTTCGTCAGAAGGCAGCTCTTTAAATGCAATCAAGCAGGGAGACTCACATCCTTTGGTTCATCGCAGTTCGACTTCTGACGGAAAGGCTGCCTCCGAGAGTCCTCAGATTGATCCACGACCTCAAAATCGCGGCTTGATCATTTTGAACTTGCTTCAACACGTACAAGATGCTTTCGAAGACGAAGGGTTGCTGGACAGACTCCCTCTGGAAACTGTTGGAGACCCCAGTGCGTGGCACGCATGGCGCGCACACCGTGGACGCGTGGAGCGGCCTGTCGAGTCCCTGACGCCTGCAACCGAAGGCAAAGATGCCGCTCCATCATCGCCAAAAAATCCCGGAGAATGGAAGTGGGACGGTGTCTGGGAGTCACGCGTGAGGAACGGTATCGAAGCCAGCATAAGTGAAGCAACCCTGTTTGGTAGCACTGCCGGTACTCGAGCTGGGCCTGCGGCGATGGACACCACAAGCATGGATCCCCACCAAAGAATCCTGGCTGCGGCTGATCGACAAATCCGTTTCTCCAAGTTGAGCGACGAGCTTTTGGATAAGGTCAAAGACGAAATATCAGCCTCTGCCTCTGCCACGCCGACCTAATGAGGAGGTTCCGCAAACGTTGAACGAGCCAATGAGAAAGTGATCAAGGTCGCCTGAATCTCTTGCCAGTCGAGCCTTGCGATCGCCGAGTTCCTGCACCAGCTATCATTGATAGTGCCTTCTCAATCTGCGACCGGAAGACACAAAAGCCTGTGGACGCTCTTACCGTGCCAACACAAGCATGTACCCAACATTTCACTCCTCCGCAGCCTCATATCTTACTTCTCTCCCATACTGGTTATCCTGCACCGATAGTCCGTATGGTTGCTGCTTTGGTTTTGCATCACAAGCCACATGAAGTATAGCGTGTATGGCTTCCTCATATGACTGATGCACTGAAGAACGACGAAATTGTCAACCCAAACGGCACGGTGTTCGGCATACTCATCGTCGGAACTGTTACATTGCTCGTTGATGTCGAAACTTCCTCGGTCTTCGGCATATTGGCATATCCCGAGCCTGCCAGGTACTGAGTGTCACACATACCTGTACCGACCTGCGAAAAGCTCCAGCTCCCTAACTTGTGTCGAGGCCAACGCTGGTTCCTCGTCCGTCTCCTTCGAATCACTCCCCCAATACGTCAACTACTCCCTGGACATCTGGCAAATCGAGAAGACAAGGGCTCTGTGATCCACACAACGCTCCTCTCCCCGAGGAGAAACCTTAAATGTATATAAAAATTAGCGACTGGGTTGATCAACGGATGTTGGGCTCCGCTGCAAGGAGCGTTCGTGTGTTGTTTGTGAATGAGTGTGTGCGAGAAAGAGGACGAGTTTTGGCGACAGCGCTGCTTGTTGGTAGCGCCAGAGCCAGTGAGCAAAGACAGTAGAAGGTGGCATCTTATTTAGCCATCGGCGGCCTTGAAGTTTTGGGACTCTGTGACTATCATGGACAGAGAAGATATCGACGCGACCCCAAGGGTTCTGAGAGTGAGAAATCCGGAGTCGCAGGAGAAAGCAGAGGATGTGGATGGCTTATCACAGTTTGACGATGACAAGGCTGCGAAGTTCTCACTGAGGTCAATTTCGGCTTCACTGTCTTCGATCTGGGCCAGGAGGAAAGCCAGTACCAGCACCTCCTGTTCTCAGTCCGAGTCCAGCCAAGACCAAAGTTGGTCTGTCGCACCCGATCTGAATTTGGACCTGGACGACAGTCTACCTTCACGCAGCTGCGTCTCCTTCTCAACCTTTACTACCCGCAAATCTTCCTCTCGAGCGCTCAAGAAGAAGAGGCTGAGCTCCCAGAAGGACATCAAGGTAAGCAAGCACCTTTCCTCAGGCGTTGTGACCTCCTCACAAAGGATTTCCTGGGCTAAACTACCATAGACTTCTTCACAGACTTGCCCTTCTGTTTCCAAGCCAACTTACCGTCATCTCATCCATCCACAAACAGTTCACAGGCGATTTCCCATAGACGTGGAAGACGAGGTATGTAGCCGATAGGAGTCTAAGTCTCGTCATCGTCTGAACTCCCAACTGATGATATTTCAACAGTCCTCATTGTACAGCTTTGCATCTTTCTCCACCGATCATTCCTCAAGACACTCAAGAAGGCCCCGTCACGATCCAGCGAAGAGGCAGCCATACGCCGTCGGACAGACAATCTCATCAACCATGGCGTCAAATCTTCCCAACGGGGTCTACATGAATGGTTTCGCAACTGACGAGGAGAGACGAGCTATGGCACCGAATAATCACGTCAATGCCCATGCTGTTCAAGCACCCACCTTTCAAGACATCTTACATCTCCGTGACGCTCTCGCAGACGAGGCTTTTGAAACACCGTCTTTCCGGACTCCTGCTTACCAACATGGGCCACTAGTCAATGGGGAGACGGTACCGTCCGCTCCACCTCCCACTCTTGCCAGTGCAATTCACACTCTAGAGTCTGTTGATACCTCCATCAACCATGATCATATCCAGCCTCAGTCCGATGTCGGTCATTTTCGCGATAACTACGGCAACTTTGGAGGGAGCTACCATCGCAATCCTCTACAGCATCCACCGGCTGCACGCAACATTCGAATTGCCCCATTGCCAGCCATCGCGGCACTAAAAGTGGAGACTTTTGCATTCAATGTCTTGGAAACAGGTGCAAAATCAACCATGGCCACATATGTCACATTCGACCTTACCGCCGTCAAACAGAACAACATCGAGACGCAAGGGCGTGGCCTCCAAACTCAAGACCGGTCTTATCTGCTCATGGAAAATAACGAAGGTTCCTTGATTGATCTTCAAATCCAGACCAATGTCAACGGTCCTGCCAGCAAGCTCTTTGAGGTCGGGGTTGAAAAGATTCACAAGCTGTGTCACAAAGACCGCTGGAGTGTTTTACTCAAGCTCGGTGCGAAAGAGAACACCCTGAGGTCCAGACTCTCCAGCTCCCTGCGATCAGACACTCGAGCAACATCATCCCTTTCATTGATCGACCAATTCCTGGCAAGCCTTAAGATGGACGGCAAGAGAAGCGAACCAGTCTCTGTCGAAGCAGTAATCCAATATCGCCATGCATTTCTGCCGGATGATACGACTTTGGAGACTCGTGCCGTCTGCCACGTTGGCTCGCTCGCTTCCGCCTCGTCCATGGACGCCATTGAAGCTGGAGTGCTCGCAAGCTCCATTGTTCATGCCCTGGATCCAGGGATCAACACTGTCAAGCTGCTCTCGATCGAGCGACCAGAGCAACAGCACCATCTGGAGTTGGGTGGCGCCCAGGCGCTGGCACTCATCTACGACTTCCGACATGCGTTGGGCCATGTCGTTTCCGAATCGGTAACCTGGGACCTTGCGGTCCTAGAGACCTATTACCGACAAGTCCAGGTGTTGGAGTTTGCGTCTCCGCAAACTTCAACACCCCGAGATACCCTTCGCCGCCGTGTGGCAACGGTGGCGAAGAGGTTCTCGCCGAGGAAGTCTGGTGGTGGTGGCCCTGGCGCCGAGGGGCGCGTGGAATAGGATGCCACGGGGTGTGGCGTTGGCGCGGGCGGCGGTGGTGTTGGTGGTGTCGGTGATGGTGCAAAGGGCGAGGACGAGGACGAGGAGAGTGTCCATAGCATGGACGAGGCTGCCCTCGTGTGGCAGCATATGAGGGAGGCCTCCGGGCTGAGTGACGAGGCCGAGAGCCTCTACGAGACGGGAGTTTGGGGGCCGCCCTGGCTATGAGGGCCAATCAATTCTACATCCAATATGTCCTGTTTCCGTTTCTTTCTTGCGTGACATTGTAGCTGGTAACGATCGCCTGTAGGCCGTGTAGTTTCCGGGCAGCGTGGGACAGATGGATTGTTTTGCGAATGATGCACGCAATGCCTTGCCCAGCAATGACTGCCAGCATCCACATACATGGGGTTGTCGCTCATCCCGAGTGCAAGTGAGGCGCCGGCACCGCTAGTGGCGCTCTGGAGATGGAGGGAGCAAGGGACTTGTGTATATATGGCTACAAGTAAATATGCATGTGTACTTACACTAACTACTTGGAGAGAATCGACGCGAGAAATAGAACCCGATTGGATTATGGGAAGGGACACATATCAGGGACAGAATATAATGGGGTCTTGGGAGTATATACAAAATCCAGTCGTATCCTATCTTTTGATTGTTTCATTTTGTCTCATTCTCTCATCTCATTCTCTGGTCCCTTTTCTTGATTTTGGGAAAAGCACTTCTCTCATCCTCTGCCTTTCTAGTGGGGGTTGCTCGTGGTCAGTACGGGAGGCCAGATATCGTGGTCGAGTGGCGGCGTGTTCATCTGCGTTTTTGGCTGGCGCAGACGTCTGCGGAGATCCATTTGCGGCCGGCATACTCAGTCCAGAATGGCATCCGTCAAATGGATCTCTGATCGACACCTGTGCCTCTTCTCCTCGGTTCAGGGTTCAGTGACCTCTGTGCCAGCCTCATTGTCTTCCTTCCTTTGTGTCTCGACCCCCTCCGGTCGACTCTTTTCTTCTGTCGTGCCATCCTTCCAGCTCACGGGGACCCCGTCATCTGTAAATCTCGCCCATTCGAACCACCCGCATCCCTCGCCGCCACCTGGCTTATTCCCAACCTGACACATCCACATATACCTACCCCGGTTAGCCCGCTGTTTCTGCACCGTTTTTAACACACAAGGGGTTCCGCATCTACACTTTGGGGTGTGTTTGGGGCGAAATTCTTCTCGGTACCACCTATAGGTGATGTTGATGCGCTTGTTACCAGCGATCGGATGGGGAGTGACAGTAGGGGCGGGTGCGATGCTGTGTTTCCACTCCTCCTGCATCTCAGCATGCATCACAAGGAGAGAGTTGTGGGGGAGATGGATTGCGATTTGGCCTGACTTGTCTGCTGCAGTGGCAGAGGTGCCTTCAGATTTGTCGGTTTCGTCAGGATCGTCCTTGGGCACGATCCGTCGAACGCGGAACTCTCTCGCAACCCCGAGACTCAAGCTCCCTATGATGGCCCGAGGCCCAAGATAGGAGAGTTGATCAGAATGGTAGCCCACATGCTGTGCGCCACCATCATAACAATTGACAAAGGCGGCGTTGGGTTTCCATACTTGGGGTGATTGGTATTTCAATTTTTTCCCTTCCGGGTAAAAATCACGAATCCGAATGGCAATCTCCCTGTTCACAGCGTCACGAACCAGACCGCTGACTTGCTTCATGACAGGTAGAATCTCCCTGATATCTCCGAGATCATTGCCATTGTAGTAATATTCGCTTCTTTGTCGCTCCACATCTGCCAGGCTGTCGACGTAGAAACAAGCTGTGTGCGGGGACTTGACCACATTGTCAAAGATTTTGAACTGAATAGAGTCGTAGCTGGGGACTTCAGCAAGGAGCTCTTCTAGAAGGGCGTTTGCAAGGCTGGAGGGAAGGAAATTGTGGATTATGGAACAAGGTGTGTGGTTAGCGATATCGTACGGCGTGTAAAGGTGAAGAGTTTTGCCCTTTCTGGTCAGCGGTTGCTGCGATGTTGATTTTGATGGGCTCTTGTTCTCTAACGCATACGGGAGACCAGTCT